CCACACATATGTAAACAATGGTTTACTGATGACTTCAAGCGAGCTCGGAAGGCGAGGAAAAAGGCAGAGCGTTATTTCCGCCGCCATCCTATGGTCCATAATTTAAATAAATTTAAAATTTGAATGCAAAACCATGGCGTACATTTAAAGAAAGTAAACGCCAATCTTGGCGAACTTATGTCTCAAAAATAAATTCAAGAATGCCCATGCCCAAGGTGTGGAACATGATTCAAAGAATCAAAGATAAGGGCACTAAATCCGGTATACATCATCTCAAAAATGGGGACTATTTACTAACTCATCAATCTGATATTACAAATAAACTTGGTGAAACTTTAACTAAACACTCTTCCTCAGCTAACTATGTACCTCAATTCCAAAAGTATCAAAAACAGCAAGAAAAGAAACCTATTAATTTTTATTCAGAAAACGGGAGAGGATTGTAATGAACTATTCTCTATTCATGAACTCCATACTGCCCTTGGACACGCTCACGATACTACTACAGGAGCTGATAACATACAATATCAGCTCCTGAAGCACTTACCGGAATCATCTTTAGAAACACTATTGAATATTTTTTATGTAATTTGGACGTCAGGGAAGTTTCCTCCTTCGTGGCGTGATGCTATAGTTCTCCCGATACCCATACCCGGTCGAGATCATACTGACCCATCAAATTACCGACCAATATCATTGACAAGCTGCGTTTGCAAAACCATGGAACACATGATACATAATCAACTAGTTTGGTACTTAGAAACCAATAATCTCCTTACTAACATACAATGTGGTTTCAGGAAATACAGAAGTACGATCGATCATTTGCTTCGCTTAGAATCATTTGTTAAAAATGCAATAATAAATAAACATCATGCCGTGTCTTTTCCCGATCTCGAAAAATCATATGACACGACATGGAAACATGGTATTTTAAAAGATTTTCGTGAGTTTGGATTGCGAGGCCGTTTGCCTCAATTCATATCCGAGTTTTTAACCGACAGGCAATTTCAAGTCCACGTGGGTTCAACCCTGTCTGATCATTATAATCAGGATCAGGGTGTCCCACAAGGAAGTATTTAGACTGTCACATTATTTAGCATTAAAATCAATGGCTTATCGAAATTATTAAATGATTCAATTGATGGATCACTTTTTGTAGATGATTTCAATATTTCCTGTCGTGGCGAAAAAATATGCATACAATTGAAAGGCACCTGCAACTATGTTTAACAAAATCCAAAAAATATTCTTTGAAAAATGGATTTAAGTTGTCAAAATCTAAAACAAATTGTATTCATTTTTGTAGAAAATATAAACCGCACAAAGATCCAGAACTAATTTTAGATAACACTCCTATTAAGGTTGTAAAAGAAGCCAAGTTCCTGGGTATTATTTGTTATCACCATTTTGAATTATCTGCCTCACATTAAATATTTGAAGAATAAATGTCTGAAAGCCCTTGACTTGCTAAAAGTTGTCTGAAACAATAAGTGGGTAGGAGATCAGAAAGCCCTCCTTCAACGGTACAGAGCACCTATCCGCTCCAAACTAGATTATGTCTCTATCATTTATGGTTGGGCTTGTAAAAGCATTTTAAAAATTCTAGATCCTATTCACCATCAAGGATTTGCCTTGGAACCTTCCGAACTTCCCCGATACTAAGTCTGTATGTGGAGGCTGATGAGCCGTCCCTTCATCAACGTCGCATCAAATCATCTTTGTAATATATATCTAAATTACGTTCTTCGAAATCCAATCCAGCTTATGACTGTGTTTTTAATCCACTTTCTGAAAATCTCTACCAAACGAAATCATCTCTTATTCCACCTCTTGGAATAAGAATACAATCTCACCTTTCTGCTGCAAAATGAAATCTTGAAAACATTGCCCCCACTCAGATTTTCTCTTCTACACCATGGTCGTTAGTACATCCAGAGATGGACCTAACATTAACTAAACTAAAGAAATCTGACACAAAGCAACTAATCAACAACAATATAATAAATTACGAAGCACATATGATACTTACAAATCTATATTTACAGATGGATCCAAAGATGGTGAAGCCGTTGCCAGCGCCACTGTCATTGGATCCAGGACTATCTCATCCCGATTACCAGATAACTGTTCAATTTTTACAGCAGAAGCAAATGCTATTTTAATAGCACTTAAATACATCAACAGCCAATCTAAACATAAACAGTTCATATTTTTTCAGATTCTCTTTCTTGCCTCCAGGCTATTAAAAACATGTCATCCACGCATCCCCTTATAATAGAAATTGTTGAATTGTTGAATGATCTTGCTACTGGCCAATGCGACACCGTTTTCTGTTGGTTACCCAGCCAAGTTGGAATCACTGGGAACACAATGGCCGATGCTGCTGCAAAAGCAGCACTCAGCAAATCTATGACACAACTTTGTATCCCATTCACTGATATGAAACCTCTCATCAGATGTTACATCCGAGATCTGATGCAAAAGAAGTGGGACACCCAGGTAGGTATCAATAAATTACATGAAATTAAACCAAATATCGGTTACACCTACTTGGGCTGTCAGTCCAGATTTGAAGAGTTCATAATGCGACGATGTCGCACTGGCCATAGCAGATATGTACATGATTATTGACTGAAAGGTGAGGATCCTCCATTTTGTATCCCTTGTGATGGGAGATTTCCTGCTTGACTGTATTGATTTTGCCATCACAAGTGATAAATATTTCAAATCATCATCTCTTAAGGATCTTTTTAATAGTAGTAGTTGTCAATTAATTAAAGGATTTTTAAAAGAAATATAACTTATTGATAATTTTTTAACTGTGTAGATTGTTTTTATTATGATAAAATATTGGTAGTGTTTATTCTGTAACTTTTATAATTAGTGGTTGTATCATCAAGGGGGGTTGAAGTAGTGTAAAATTATTGTCCCCCTGAGAGGATACGTAAGACCACATGCCGAAAGTACGTCTATTCGAACCACTTTTTTTAACGTAGTATATTCATTCCTTTTAACTGATGGCTAAATCGCGTACAATCGCCAGCCACTGAAGGGATGGTGTAAATCCTGCTGGGGTCCATGCAGGTAGCAAAGGTACTGTAAGTCCCCATGGGCCCTAGTAGTATGGTGATCTACCTTCAGAGGATTGCGATCTCTAGCCCGTTTTCATCATGTTATTGTTATGTATAGTGCTATTATGTTTCATAATTCCATACTAGTTTTATATCTGTCTCTGTAATAAGTCTAGTTATTTTACTGTCCATTGTTGGCAGGTTTTTATATAAGTTTCAAAATAATTATCATGTATTACCCTTGATAGTCACGATATGGCTGCAATATTGCCGATGTGACTTAAGATTAAACTCTTTCACTCACATTTAACTCAGTCAGTTATTTTCCGGCTTTAAACGAAACATCTGTGACACACACTTCAACCTTTTCAACATGCAATTTACCCTTTTACACCATTTACATTTTTTGTTATAGCATTGCTAGTTATGATTTACATGTTGTTACTTGTATATTTTGTGAATATTGTTAATTTTATGGGCTCTTTACACCCTACTAAAGTTCATTTCACACTCTGTTCACATCCACGTGCTTGGCCATGCACTTACTAAACGCGGATGATTAACCAGGACAAACCAAAGAAAGTAGAGAGTTAAATGAAGCACTGATAAAAGAACGAAAGTGACTTATCCTCACAAGTGGTAGCCCACAATCAGAGAGCCCCCCATGTCGTGTGACAGCCAACACGAGCACAAGAGCACTCAGATTTATTTAGGAATTATCACTGACAGAAAACTTCACAGCATACTAGTGAATAAAGTCGGTCCTCGGTCAAATGAAGATGGGTGGTGTCACAAGTTCTGTTCTTAAGGACACTGTCAGTGACGGGTGGCACTGAAAACAGAACATTTAATATCACAGCGTCAAACCTTGGCGACGTGACCCTTGTGTTTTCCTGTGGCAGAAACAGTCGTCATGTGTCCTGTGTCCTGTGAGGGCGTACAGTGAGTGAGTGAGTGAGTTTGGTTTAACGCCGCTTTTAACAATATTCCAGTTATATCGCGGCGTGTCAGCTTAATGTGGGAGGAAAGCCCGAAGTGATGCAGGTCTCAGACGTTTACCACTTCGGTGAAACCCACGAGCACGGGTATTGTGCTGACAAACCTAGAAACATAATTTGGGCGAACCGGGATTCGAACCCACAATCATAGGTTTCTGGCGTGCCCAAGGGACGCAACTCTGCACAGCGAATCGCGGCGACTTAGACGACTGGGCCACCCGTGCTCCCGAGGGCGTACAGACGCTGAGTAAGATTGGTGACAACACCTTGCCATACAAGAATGAACGTATTACCAACAGTGGCGACTCGAGTTTAACAAATGAAAAATGTGCCTGTTATGGATGCATGTCATCATATCCCACTTGCGGAGTTTGATTCATAGGAAATGGATCCCTGAATTGTCTGGTCTGGACTCGATTATTTACAGACCCCGTGACATAGCTCGAATATTGCTGCGTGCGGTGTTAAATCACAAACAAATAATCATATTATTAGACCATAAGGGATAAGGATTGTTTTTTTTAATTATAACATTTGAATGAGCGGACTTTGTGAACGCGGAAGTCGGAAATATAACTGCTAAATTACGGCCTAAATAATCAAATCTGGGCCAATGCTTGACACGCTGTCAGACTACAATGACACCAGCTTAGCCGGATCAAACATATCACATAACCAGGAAATTCGTAGTGGGAATTTTATCGCATAATGCACACAAGGAAAGAATACAACGGAATACGAACAAATTGTGCAAAGGCGATTATATGTTGAATGAGGCATGTTCAATAAAATTATTATTTGTATTATTAAGGTCGGTTAGATTAGAACGTAACAGGTCAGGTCACACGCACAAAGGAGACTGCTGGTTTATGGTTGAAAAAATGTCATGAAAATCACAGTAATGCATAGCAAAAGACCAGTACACAACACTACTCAACAGATTTATTGTGACGTCTATGCATCCAGAGTTCAAGTTCGCCCTACGTGTCTTGCAAAGCAGGTAAAAGAACAAAAAGAAAAATATAAGAAAAAACTGCTGTGATGTGTAATCATATAAAATAACAATATGAAAACCTATGCAGCACATATTGTCTTGGGTGTTTTGATCCAATTTGATAAGGAAATATGAAAAAAATAACAAGCAATATAATATAATATAATCTATTTCGACCCAACCATGCTAGTCCAGTGGTCATGCATTTTAATGGAGTGAATACTACACGCGTACGTCAAAATGTGAAAAGCGCGCAGCATTATTGCTAACAAACAGCCTTCAATGACACAAAACCCATTCATCGAATTGCCTATGAACGCTCATACCTTTCAACAGAATACTTGTAACTCAGAAATTAATATTAACATACTTTGGATAGTAACTGATGAAAACATTCATTCGACGAAGAAAAATAAATTTTCGAGAGGCATAACTCTTGTACCTTGCCTCGGGACATGTCACTTATTCCTTGAGTTTCATCTACATTAATGTATAGAGGCACTGTGTGTGGTGCCAGCAAACCAATGATCCAAAGTTTAGGACAACAACGATGTCAAGGGACATTATCGATTAAAGATCGGGACGCACACCTGTTACAGAATTGGCTTCACCAGAAATGGGCTTCACACATTGTACCCATACCGGAAATCATACCCGTGTCTTCGGCGTGACGAGCGAACACTTTAACCACTAGACTACCCGACCGCCCCCGTAACAGAAGAGGTGTGTTCGCCACGTCTTAGGTATCACGGTCCTTCAACATGACATCACTAGTACCTTCCTGGTCGGTTTGGATGATAGCGGGCCTTTTCTTTTTCCAACGTACAACGATTACAACGATTACAACGATTACAAGGATTACAGCGATTACAGCGATTACAGCGACAGTAATTAGGATCCAAACTGGAAATACTTCTGTGTCCGGTCCATCTGACGTAGGAGGAACTGTGGACTGTGTGGTTGATGTCTTGATGTCAGTCAGAGCACCTGCAGGGCAGTAAGAGGAAACAAACATCATCGACTCACTTAGGATGAATGTAATTCGTGACGATGTAGCAGCCAGTCAAGATATATGTCACTTGGAATGTCTAGTTAGGATGTAATTATACATAATGTAAGCACATAATGCACTAGGTAAACAATATGGAGCACATGACATTACATTGGAACGATGCATTATGAAACTAACAAAATACGAAAGACAATACAAAGTTGCAGACACTTATCGTTCTTGCCTCGTGTACTATTTCTTCCTACCTTCGACCAGCTGGCGAATTCCCTCACAGGACACGTTCCAACTGCTACTACTACAGGTGTAGATGAGACTGACCACCCCGAAATGTGAGCTTGTTACATTGAACTGTTTGGTCAATACATCATCTGAGATATTAGTAAATGTACGCTTGATGAGAGTGGTGTTGACACCCGTCGTCAACTCAACCAGAGAAGACTCGGAGCAGTAGCTGTTAGAGAGGTTCACTGTCAGTGTTACAGCATCTCCCTCATTGAGTGAGCTGGTGTTTGTGTCGCTGGTGTTTGTGTCGCTGGTAATGCAACACGTTGGTCTCTCTGAAAATACATAGTGAACAACAATGGCAAAATATGAAGTAGTAAAACTACCAACTTGACCTCTTTACTCTTTAATTTTGTCCGTATCTACTAAGTCTCAAAGATGGGTATTTCCTCAGCTATGCCTGAGTGGCTAGTTGGTGATTCATTGGGATGTAACAAATCACAAGTTAAGAACCTGATAATCATTCGTAATTTTAATGTACACGAAGTCTGTATGTGATTTTTTCTGGTATCTGTGATGCTTTGTTTATATACAAGCGAGAGTGGGTACTTTAAGTTTTAATTATTTATTTTGCGCTGGTTATGTATTTGAAGTAATACTTGCGACTGTTCTCTTGCAACTCGGATCAGACAAACTAATGAGCCTGGACTAGGATCATGGTTAAGTTGAGACACCAAAATATAAAATAAACTGTTTATACTTACTAAAAACAGTCACATGACAAGTCTCCTTTTTTGGATCATTTACACATTTCCAATCACCCCCATGAGGCTTTAGTGTCCGATGTATAGTGAGAATACTGGAAGATGTGTTGACGACTGATGCGTTGAAGTTACGAGACGGATAGCACTTTCCATCTATCAGATTACACGTTGCTGCAGTAGTTACACTGGGTGTTACGTAGGAGTGGGCGTTTGATCTACCTTCAATGTAACAGGTAAGGTTGACCGACGAGCCCAATTCAACCATTTCTGGACAGTGAAAACTGGGTGTACCTTTATGAAAAAATGTCCGAATTAGACTCACATTTATTTGAGATATTATATCATGTAATAATCTGATCCGTGCAGCAGGATGTCACTGATTTCATGCAGGCAAAGATGGACTTTCCAAATACAAACTCCATGACCCAATTCAGCTATTTCGAATAATTCATTTTATGGTCTCTACTTTCGTCCCTTAAATAAATGAAAGTATGGATATATAACAAAGGAAGGGACGGATAAAATTTAATCATACGAATATAACCTACAGTATACGGTTACCATCAACAGGATGATAAAGATGGTAGAGTGCAGGTATCCACCAAATCGGTTGCTCTTCTGGAGAACTGTCATCTGTAAACACGTACATGAAGATCATTTTGTTACACATAAAAAGATAAATAGGAACTGACTGTAGAATATGATTCATACATTATTTGTTTGTGCCTGCCGTTGCATTGGCAGAAGTTGTTAAGTTGTCTTCGTGGGAACGTCAGATATTGGGTACTGTTACGATTAATATATATTATTTGTTTGTGCTTGCCTTTGCATTGGCAGAAGTAGTTAAGTTGTCATCGTGGTAATGTCAGATATTGGGTACTGTTACGATTAATATATATTATTTGTTTGTGCTTGCCTTTGCATTGGCTGAAGTTGTTAAGTTGTCTTCGTGGGAACGTCAGATATTGGGTACTGTTACGATTAATATATATTATTTGTTTATGCTTGCAGTTGCATTGGCAGAAGTTGTTAAGTTGTCATCGTGGGAACGTCAGATATGGTTTAGTGGTCTGATTCATACACTATTTGTTACTGCTTGCAATTGCATTGGCAGAAGTAGTTAAGTTGTCATCGTGGGAACGTCAGATATTGGGTACTGTTACGATTAATATATATTATTCGTTTGTGCTTGCAGTTGCATTGGCAGAAGTAGTTTAGTTGTCATCGTGGTAACGGCATGTATGGTGTAGTGGTAGACGTAACTGTTAGTGATATGGTAGTCATATTCATAAAACAACGGCATTGGATGTATGGCTGCGGTGGAAGTCAAACTAGCAATGATAGTAGTAGTTGCAGATTAGTGTAGGCGGTGTTTAGAGACAGTGGGGGTAGTTGTAGAAGGCTGGCGGTACCAATAGAAGAGAGACAAGAACGCGATTCCAGACCTTTTGACCTGACTTGTGTTTATCTAATGATCAAGCGCGGTTTGGATACGTTTGAAATCAACGAATTCCTGCCGACTTCCAACACTTTTCTGGACTCTTTCAAGACATTCAACAGAGACAATATTCAGAACATTTCCTGAGTGCACGCAGCTAACATTAATTCAAGAGCCTGAGACTGTCACGTATTTGACCCATTGCCTTTTTTATTGTAACTGTGTGTTGGAATATAATGGTTTGATTATTTAGAGATCTTGTGTAATGATTTACTGATTTCACTATTTGGTTCCATGGTTCTGGCATTAGCCTCTTCGTCTTAATTTGAAAATAACTTCGTAACAGCAGATTTTGGGAAGTTGTTTTTGCTTATGGTGGTACTTGTAATGGTTGAGATGTTGCGATGGCAGTGGTACTGGTAGTAGCTTGATGACACAGATAGTTGTAGTAACTTGTTTAGTCATATACTATCATAGCTGTTATTGTTGCATAACACCAGTGACAAATGCTCTGATATGGTTGAAGTAGATTTGCCTGCTCGTATCAGTTGTTCAAATTTTCTGCGACATTTGTTGGGGTTACTTCCTGTTGGTATTGTGAAACGTTTCCCTTCAAAATTGCATTTCATTTGAAAGAACTGCATACCAGTATCAACCTTATCAGCTACGATTGTAATGACATGACAAGAGGGTTGTACCGATAATAATCACTGAGTATAATGATTGTTGTAGAAAAAGGCCACAAAGGAATTAGAAACAGCAGCAGTAGTAGTAGTAGTAGTTGTAGCATCAGTAGTTGTAATAGTAGTAGTAGTCGTTGCAGAAGAAGTAAGTAGTAACATGATTAGTAACATGAGTAGAGGAGAAATTAGTAGTAGTAGTAGTAGTAGTTTTAGCATGAGGAGAAGCAGAAGTTGTAGTAGTAGTAGTAGTAGTAGTGGTAGTAGTTAGTGAGTGAGTGAGTTGGGTTTAACGCCGCTTTTTATCAGTATTCCAGGTATATCACGGCGTGTCAGCTTAATGTGGGAGGAAAGCCAAAATTGATGCAGGTCTCAGACGTTTACCACTTCGATGAAACCCACGAGCACGGGTATGGTGCTGACAAACCTAGAAACATAATCGGGGCGAACCGGGATTCGAAAGTAGTAGTAGTAGTAGTAGTAGTAGTAGTAGCAGAAATGGTAGTAGCAGTAGAAGTAGTAAAGGGGGTAGAGGAAGAAGTAACAACAAGTGTAGCAGAAGAAGAATTATTATTATTATTAGTGAGTGAGTGAGTGAATATGGTTTTACGCCACTTTTAGCAACATTCCGGCAATATCACGGCGAGGGTCCCCAGAAATGAGCTTCACACATTGCACCCATGTGGGGATTCGAACCCGGTTCTTCGGCGTGACGAGCGAACGCTTTAGCTGCTAGACTTCCCCACTGCACTTTTTATTATTAATATTCGTCGTCGTCGTCTTCGACGTAGTAGTAGTAGTAGTAGTAGTAGTAGTAGTAGTAGTAGTAGTAGTAGTAGTAGTAAAAAAGAAGTAGAAGACAATGTAGTAAAATTAAGGTCGTAGTAGGGCAGTGAATGAGTGGAGTGAATGTTGATTTACGTTGCAGTCAGCGATATTCCAGCAATATCACGAGGGCGTCAGTCAAGCCAGTAGTTAAACGTAATGTGCGTAGTTCACACGCAAACACAGAAACTCACACAGAAACTCGCCCGAAGTCGATATATGGCAAGAAGAGTTGCTAAAAGTTACAAATACCAGAGACTTGAAATATTTAGGCTTCTATTCTGTTCAGAGTTATTCCGCGTGTAAACAGTAGTCACCGAGGTCTTGAGTTTAAATAATACAGCTAACTTCAGCAGGAGAGAGACGGCTGATGTGTGACGTGATTTCATTTCACCCTTCATACTAGATGCTAAACAGACAGACCACACGACAAGCATAGGCCGTTGCCTGTCTATAATGTCATCAGGAGTACGTGTACAGTCAGTAAATAAAGGAACAGAACAGCTTTAGTATCAATAGTTACACTTGTACATACCACATCAATACTAGATATAACTATTTCAAACTTATCGAAACATATACATACATCAGACTTCAAAGGTGACTCCATCAAGGCTCTTCAGCTGACTGCAAACTTCAGGTACAATTTGAATTGCTACACTTAATCTTTGATCGATAGATCGTGGTAATAGAATATATTTCCTCTTGTGCTGATTTGTATGTTATCAGCAAGCCCAATTGATAGTTTAGCTGAATTCATGGTAGGGGTATCTTGTATTGGTAGTGCTATGTTTTGTCCTTCCAGTTGAGTTGCTGTGGACCTACAGATCTTAAAAATTGTTTATATGTTAATGATTTTTCATATGTCTGGGACTACCAAAATGAGGTTGCTGTGGACCTACTCTATCTGGGAATGCCAACACGTTGCTGTGAACCTAAACTATCTGGGAATCCCACAGATTGCTGTGGACCTACTCTATCTGGGAATCCCACAGATTGCTGTGGACCTACTCTATCTGGGAATCCCCACAGGTTGCTGTGGACCTACTCTATCTGGAAATCCCCAGAGGTTGATGTGGACCTACTCTATCTGGAAATGCACACAGGTTGCTGTGGACCTACTCTATCTGCGAATCCCACATGTTGCTCTGGACCTACTCTATCTGGGAATCCCCACAGGTTGCTGTAGACCTACTCTATCTGGGGATGCCCACAGGTTGCTGTGGACCTACTCTATCTGAAAAATACCCACAGGTTGCTGTGGACCTACTCTATCTGGGAATCCCCACAGGTTGCTGTAGATCTACTCTATCTGGGGATGCCCACAGGTTGCTCTGGACCTACTCTATCTGGGAATCCCCACATGTTGTTGTGGACCTACTCTATCTGGAAATACCCACAGGTTGCTGTGGACCTACTCTATCTGGAAATACCCACAGGTTGCTGTGGACCTACTCTATCTGGGGCTGCCCACAGGTTGCTCTGGACCTACTTTATCTGGAAATACCCACAGGTTGCTGTGGACCTACTCTATCTGGAAATACCCACAGGTTGCTGTGGACCTACTCTATCTGGAAATACCCACAGGTTGCTGTGGACCTACTCTATCTGGAAATACCCACAGGTTGCTGTGGACCTACTCTATCTGGGAATCCCCACAGGTTGCTGTGGACCTACTCTATCTGGAAATCCCCAGAGGTTGATGTGGACCTACTCTATCTGGAAATGCACACAGGTTGCTGTGGACCTACTCTATCTGCGAATCCCACATGTTGCTCTGGACCTACTCTATCTGGGAATCCCCACAGGTTGCTGTAGACCTACTCTATCTGGGGATGCCCACAGGTTGCTGTGGACCTACTCTATCTGAAAAATACCCACAGGTTGCTGTGGACCTACTCTATCTGGGAATCCCCACAGGTTGCTGTAGATCTACTCTATCTGGGGATGCCCACAGGCTGCTCTGGACCTACTCTATCTGGGAATCCCCACATGTTGTTGTGGACCTACTCTATCTGGAAATACCCACAGGTTGCTGTGGACCTACTCTATCTGGAAATACCCACAGGTTGCTGTGGACCTACTCTATCTGGGGCTGCCCACAGGTTGCTCTGGACCTACTTTATCTGGAAATACCCACAGGTTGCTGTGGACCTACTCTATCTGGAAATACCCACAGGTTGCTGTGGACCTACTCTATCTGGAAATACCCACAGGTTGCTGTGGACCTACTCTATCTGGAAATACCCACAGGTTGCTGTGGACCTACTCTATCTGGGAATCCCCACAGGTTGCTGTAGACCTACTCTATCTGGGGATGCCCACAGGTTGCTCTGGACCTACTTTATCTGGGAAACCCAAAAGGTTGCTGTGGATCTACTCTATCTGGGAATCCCCTCAGGCTGCTGTTGGCCTACTCTATCTGGAAATCCCCAGAGGTTGATGTGGACCTACTCTATCTGGAAATGCACACAGGTTGCTGTGGACCTACTCTATCTGGGAATCTCTACAGGTTGATGTGGACCTACTCTATCTGGAAATGCACACAGGTTGCAGTGGACCTACTCTATCTGGGAACCCCACATGTTGCTGTGGACCTACTCTATCTGTGAATCCCCACAGGCTGCTGTGGACCTACTCTATCTAGGAATCCCCACAGGTTGCTGTGGACCTACTCTATCTGGGACTCCCCAAAGGTTGCCGTGGACCTACTCTATCTGGGACTCCCCAAAGGTTGCTGTGGACCTACTCTATCTGGGAATCCCCACAGGTTGCTGTAGACCTACTCTATCTGGGAATCCCCACAGGTTGCTGTGGACCTACTCTATCTGGGAATCCCCACAGGTTGCTGTGGACCTACTCAATCTGGAAATACCCACAGGTTGCTGTGGACCTACTCTATCTGGGAATCCCCACAGGTTGCTGTGGACCTACTCTATCTGGGAATCCCCACAGGTTGCTGTGGACCTACTCTATCTAGGAATCCCACATGTTGCTGTGGACCTTCTCTATCTTGGAATCCCCACAGGTTGCTATGGGCCTACTCTATCTGGGAATCCCCACAGGTTGCTGTGGACCTACTCTATCTGGGAATCCCCACATGTTGCTGTGGACCTACTCTATCTGGGAATCCCCACATGTTGCTGTGGACCTACTCTATCTGGGAATCCCCACAGGTTGCTGTGGACCTACTCCATCTGGAAATCCCCACAGGTTGCTGTGGACCTACTCTATCTGGGAATCCCCACAGGTTGCTGTGGATCTACTCTATCTGGGAATCCCCACAGGTTGCAGTGGACCTACTCTATCTAGGAATCCCACATGTTGCTGTGGACCTACTCTATCTTGGAATCCCCACAGGTTGCTATGGGCCTACTCTATCTGGGAATCCCCACAGGTTGCTGTGGACCTACTCTATCTGGGAATCCCCACAGGTTGCTGTGGACCTACTCTATCTGGGAATCCCCACAGGTTGCAGTGGACCTACTCTATCTAGGAATCCCACATGTTGCTGTGGACCTACTCTATCTTGGAATCCCCACAGGTTGCTATGGGCCTACTCTATCTGGGAATCCCCACAGGTTGCTGTGGACCTACTCTATCTGGGACTCCCCAAAGGTTGCTGTGGACCTACTCTATCTGGGAATCCCCACAGGCTTCGGGGTTAGATTTGGAATCATTGAATTGCAAACAAGGTAAAGTTTAACATTTTTGGATAGGAGGATATGTGACGCACTACATCCAATGACATAATCCTCTTTCGGTTTAGACGAGCCAAATAGAAACATTTCCTTGGGTATTACATTTCCTCTCCCATACATCCCGTTACAATGCCGATTGAATACTGTTTGCATTTGTCTGTTACACTTGTGTCCAACTCTGGTCTGTGGCTCCAGTCGGAAGTATGAATCAATCCGTTGTCTCAACAATGCTGTGGTTTCGGAAGTTTCTGTAAAACTCGAAAAGAGGCGCATGAATTTGTACTTAAATCCAGTAATATCCCGTAAGTTTTGAATAGATGACTTATTGAGTTGAACTGCAAGGCATTTAACATAATTACTTTGTAATATTGATGATTGATATTATGACGTCGGCAATGAATTTGAGGAAAACGTAATTGAGGAAGTTATCATTCCCCGGCTTACAAACTAGCACGCATACATGTTTTTAACCGATAACATTTGTGAAAAAGATTCAAAGCCATTTCACACGGTGAAGGATTTCCTTGAATAAAGCAATAACTCCGTGTAAGGTCAGTCTATACGTTGTTAAAACAGAACGCAGAAATACAACTATGTTTGAATTTATGCAGTATTATATGGATTTAAACAAATATCTGAGAAACGTTATTGAAACAATCTGTTGTTCCCCTGGCCGGGCCTTTGCATTGAAGGAGTCAACAAGGACCGGTCGGCTCGGAGTCAGTGTAGTGTCAGTCTGTGTTGGCCGGGCCTTTGCATTGAAGGGGTCAACAAGGACCGGTCGTCTTGGAGTCAGTACAGTGTCAGTCTGTGTTGGACGGGCCTTTGCATTGAAGGGGTCAACAAGGACCGGTTCGCTCGGAGTCAGTGTAGTGTCAGTCTGTGTTGGCCGGGCCTTTGCATTGAAGGGGTCAACAAGGACCGGTCGGCTCGGAGTCAGTACAGTGTCAGTCTGTGTTGGACGGGCCTTTGCATTGAAGGGGTCAACAAGGACCGGTCGGCTCGGAGTCAGTGTAGTGTCAGTCTGTGTTGGCCGGGCCTTTGCATTGAAGGAGTCAACAAGGACCGGTCGGCTCGGAGTCAGTGTAGTGTCAGTCTGTGTTGGACGGGGTATTTGTGTAATCTGTGGTATGGTATATATGTGGGCAACCAGTATCCAGTCGCTATGTGACGCTCTAGTGACTTCACCACGGAGGCTGAAAACATTTATTATAATACTAGACTACATATACAGTAAACTACGGTTATAACGAACACGCTTATAACGAACTAACGGATATAACGGACTAACTTTTTAGTCCCGACTATATGCTGTAGTTATGCTGTATATATGCTTATAACGAATTACGGTTATAACGAACTAAAATTAGTAGTCCCTTTGAGTTCGTTATAACCGTAGTTTACTGTACTATAATAATAATTAGACCATACCGCCTTTAATCCGTAGCAACTGGCTGTTGTTGTAGTGTTTTGTTTTATCATCAAAGTGCATAAGGCAACGATTTAGGCAGGTGCACGTTCCAATGAAACTATCGCAGTACTATTACAATACTTTAGAATGTATTGTAATAGAATCACAATAACGTTTCCAGTTATCGCAATGCCATTGCAATAGTGAAATGCGCTCACTTGTCACATCGATTTGAAACATATTATAACAGAGATTAACTTCATGATTTTATTGATATGAAAAGAATGATACAATACATGCATAGTGCTGTTGAGTTGAACTGTGGTAAACAGCTTGTGTACATAACACTGCTTCATAGGAATATGTGTATACACAGAATTTCAACGTTTCAGCATTTCAGTTCAGTTCATTTAAGGCCAAGATTATATATAATCCCCAACCACGTCATAGAATATCAACGTTGTCAATGAATGCGTGAACAATAATTGCAATTGATGTCCGATTATCAGTATTTCAGTTCAATTCCTTTAAGGCCAAGATTACATATAATCCTCAACCACGTCATAGAATATCAACGTTGTCAATGAATGCGTGAACAATAATTGCAATTGATGTCCGAGTATCAGTATTTCAGTTCAGTTCCTTTAAGGCCAAGATTACATATAATCCTCAACCACGTCATGGAATATCAGCGTTGTCAATGAATGCGTGAACAATAATTGCAATTGATGTCCGAGTATCAGTATTTCAGTTCAGTTCCTTTAAGGCCAAGATTACATATAATCCTCAACCACGTCATAGAATATCAACGTTGTCAATGAATGCGTGAACAATAATTGCAATTGATGTCCGAGTATCAGTATTTCAGTTCAGTTCCTTTAAGGCCAAGATTACATATAATCCTCAACCACGTCATAGAATATCAACGTTGTCAATGAATGCGTGAACAATAATTGCAATTGATGTCCGAGTATCAGTATTTCAGTTCAATTCCTTTAAGGCCAAGATTACATATAATCCTCAACCACGTCATAGAATATCAGCGTTGTCAATGAATGCGTGAACAATAATTGCAATTGATGTCCGAGTATCAGTATTTCAGTTCAGTTCCTTTAAGGCCAAGATTACATATAATCCTCAACCATGTCATAGAAGGTGGCAGTGTAGTCCTTTCTTCTCTTCAAGGATGCGTAGCCAATTTCTGATGAAAGGTCAGCATGACAGTATACATCATCTAATAAAAAACAAAGCAACTAATGTCCTTATCTGTAATATCATTTGAATAATATTTACTTTTTTGATGTTCTATATTTATGGTCCGAAAGGAATGATGTTTCTCGAACTGTTAATCACAGATAGCACATCTACAACATATTGATATTATGGCAGAATGATCAAGTGCACCACGACATATTAGTATCTCATTTGACAACTTAAGCCCAAGCATGATGGAAATTGTAATTGCAGTCCCGGTATCCGTCAAAGTATTTGGTTTCAGTTTTCAGGCCACGATAATATATAATCCTCAGCCACGTCATAGATGGTGTCAGTGTAGTCCTTTCTTCTCTTTAAGGACGCGTAGCCATTTCCTGATGATAGGACAGCATTACAATACGCATCATCTGATAAAAAAAACAGAAGCAAATAATGTCCTTATCTGTATTTTAAAATCATTTGTATTTTATTATCATTTATGTTGTTGGGGCTTTCGAAAGACAGGGACACCGGTGGCCCAGTCGTCTAAGGCGCCGCGATTCGCTGTGCAGAGTTGCATCTCTTGGGCACGCCAGAATCTCTGATTGTGGATTCGAATCCCGTGCTCGTGGGTTTCACCGAAGTGACAAACGTCTGAGACCTGCATCACTTCGGGCTTTCCTGTCACACATTAAGCTGACACGCCGTGGTAAAACTGGAATACTGTGAAAAGCAGCGTTAAATCCAACTCACGCACTTTCGAAATACATGGTCTGGTCCGAAAGTAATGATGTTTCTTGAACTGCTAATCACAGATAGCACATCTACAACATATTGATATTATGGCAGAATGTTCAAGTGCACCACGACATATACTTATCTCATTTGACAACTTAAACCCAAGCATGATGCAAATATTATTTTCAAAGGCTGTTTTGGATGCTTACCTCCAGGCCCTGAACCAACTGAAGATACTGGTGCTGGTTTATCTGGATCGTCACTACAAGAACATAATAATAAATCATTTCAGTCTGAATAGGATTAAGAAATAACAAAACTTAACATCGGAGAGATTCGTACTGAAGCAGTAATAAAAAGCATGATGCTACTTACATAAGTATTCAAAGAAAATAGTGTACCAACCTTTTGTCATTTTCATTAGTGCGTCCACCTTTAGAATTAATAAAAATACATTGTGTTAAGTATAAACTGCATATGGTATGAAATTAATTTTTTTGATCACTATAAAAGTCACTAGTACTGGTCGTGGCTTTATCGTCTTATTTCACAACACACAGTTGGCCATAAGTAGCTTTCCATTACACTAATAACATCGTGGTAATGTTTCCAGATGTCGTGTATCACACTTCTGAATGTCGCAATCACGGGTCTAGTTTGCAACAAAGCACAGTAACAAAAACAATTTTTAGTGACAATAAAATGTCTCAGAAATTAAATATTTAATGATTATATTTTATTGTGATAAGTTATTCTATTACCAGTACAAGAGGACAATAAAACAATTTAGATTCAGGTGATACCACCACCAGGGTCAATGTCTAGAATCCAGACATATCCGAAAAAAAGATAAGAGTTATGAACTTCATGTAGACATATTTTTGGTTTCATGTTTAAATCAAAAAGTAGAAAATACCAGTACATATGCAGACAAATCGGTAGTACTTTGCAGCAAAAGCATGACAAATTTGTGTATCATTCTCTAAACATGAACACATTTGTCTTGAAAATTAGTATTTGAAAACGAAATCATTAATGATGTCGACCAACATAAACTTCTAGGAGTGAGTGAGTGAGTACGGTTTTACGCCGCTTTTAGCAATATTCCAGCAATATCACGGCGGGGGTCACCAGAAATGGGCTTCACACATTGTACCCATGTCGGGAATCGAACCCGGGTCTTCGGCGTGACGAGCGAACGTTTTAACCACTAGGCTACCCGACCGCCCTAAACTTCTAGGAGTAATGATGTAATGGTAGACAGGCATTTCACATGGAGTATTATTAAAAAAGCTAAAATGATTTCCTTTATGAGAAGATTGAAGTTTATACTGAAAACATGATATTTTGTAAATACGGATCACGTCCCTTTTGTGGCAAGTTTTAATGATAATAATTCTTCTCCTCCATCGAATAAATTAATATGGCGTTAGTACTATATAACATGCACAATACTAAGATATGAGTTGAATATTGATCGAATTACTAAACGGTCGTAGCTGCCTCTTTGTTTACATATCTGAAAGCATCGCGGAATTTTAAAGGATTTCATTTGTTCAAAGCTAGAAGTAACACAAAGCTATAATGTGTAAAGGATGTAGGCATGAATAAACGTATCGTCCAGAAAGCAGTGTTGTATCAGGGTTCGGTTTAACGGGGTTTTGTGTTACAATGGTTCAACTGTCTTTCTGGATTGAACCCTGTACCAATCAACCATTGGTGTTGCTAAACTAGTCATTTTGAGTGAGTGAGTGAGTGAGTGAGTATGGTTGTACGCCGTTTTTAGCAATATTCCAGCAATATCACGGCGGGGGACACCAGAAATGGGCTTCACCCATTGTACCCATGTCGGGAATCGAACCCGGGTCTTCGGCGTGACGAGCGAACGCTTTAACCACTAGGCTACCCGACCGCCCTCAGTCATTTTTAAGTGATACACGGGTAAATGAATGCCATGAGGCAGAGAGCATATATATGTACATGTAGGGACAACAGAATTAATAAGATAACAAAAGGTGGAAAATAACAAAGGGTAGAAACTTACAAGGCTCTCTGCCTCATGACATTCATTCATCTGATGAAGGAGTAAGCATATACTCTGAAACGTTGTGTTCCTCATAATAAAAAAGATGAGATCCATATATTCTCTTCTTTAGTAATACCTTTATTGCAGTTCAGTTGTCCAAGGCAAGGTACCATGCATGTAATATATTGGAAGCTATACAGTTCCACACAGCATTCATTTGGAGGCAGAGATGCTGGTGTATCAGGGTCTGGATTAAAGAAGGGGGATGTTCACTGGTGGAGGTAGAAGGAGTAAACGGTCTACCTGAACTAGGGCAGTATCTGCAGATGCACCAGAAGCCCAGGCAGAGGCTGATGACCATGAACATGGTTCCCATACCGAGGACAAGGGAGGACAACTGGAGGCCGGCTGAGGGACATTCTGCATGTTCTGGAACATCAAGACATGTAGCAATACTGTTCGGGCAGTTCTGATTGAGCGCTTTCAACATAAAGGCCGCCTCCGTGGTCTAGTCTGCCCATAGAGCGGAAGGTCGGTGTTCGATACCCGGCCGCGTCATACCAAGAGACGCTAAAATATGGTACTTGTTGTTACCCTGCCTGGTGCTCGTCATTAAGAGGCTAAAACAAGGACTGGTCGGCTGGGCATAGTGAGTGAGTTTGCACTATTACACACACACACACACACACACACACACACACACACACACACACACACACACACACACACACACAAACAAAAAACCCATTTCACCTAACATTTAGAGATCAGCAGGCATCAGGCCTACACTTGAACCCTTTCCTCAATTAACAAAAATATGCTGGCACATTGCTATTACGGTATCACTAAACTAAACTGGGGCATATTGTGAATTAAAGTAGAGGCTATTAACATACTCACTGCGACCCTGTTGTTGAACACCTTCACATGACAAACTCTGGGTGTGACTGCCACAGGTAAAGAGAAGCTTGGTCTGGGTTCCTGTCGTGTTGAAGGCCCTTTCAGTGATGTCTGCTGTGGTGTGTAGAGGGGGTGTGGAATACGAATCCATCACGGTCAGCAGCTCGAGCTGCATGTCCTCAGAGCAGAAGAAGCCTGTGATGTTCACTTTCAGCTCCCGTCCCACAGTCAGACTGCTGCTTTCCTGGACACTTACCATGTTGAAGGACGGGAACTCTGCGGACAACAACCCAAGCTGTCAGATCATTCAACTACTGAGCGAAGAACAAATGATGTTGGAAATCTGATTTTCCCAAGAATTTAAATTTTATAATAAATTTATTTTTTTAGATACATGTATAATGTATGAACTAAATCTAACCAAATATAACTGCGATTTTTTGTGGGAGTGTCAAATTAATTTAAAACAGTTCCGCTTTTGTAAGACGAAGGGTGTTCCACTACTCGTTGCAAGTTGTGGGGTAGCCCAGTGGTCATAGTGTTCATGCTGAAGATACGGGTTCGATTCGCCCCTTGGGTATAATATGCAGAGACCATTTCTGGTATCCTCGCTGTAGTGTTGTTGCAATATTGCAAACGTGGCGCAAAATCATACTCAATCACCCAACTGCTAATTATTAACTTTTTGCATATTTTATACGCGTAAACGAATTAGATAAAACTCAAATCTCAAATGAACAGTTTGTTCGTTCCTTTTCTCTCAAGCAAACAATATAATGTAAACTCAGTGATAAATAAATACATTCAATAAAGTAATGATAACAACTTCAACATGGACCACCACACTGATAGCTGGGCTAAGACTAAGGTAAGCGTTAGGTTGTCAGGATGCCCGTGTCTATCTGTTCGCGGGGCGGTCGGGTAACCTAGTGGTTAAAGCGTTCGCTTGTCACGCTGAAGACCCGGGTTCGATTTCCGACATTGATACAATGTGTGAAGTCCATTTCTGGTGTCCCCCGCCGTGATAGTGCTGGAGTATTGCTAAAAGTGGCGTAAAATCATACTCACTCACTCACACACTCACTCATCTGTTCGCTCTTACTGGCAACTGTCATGCGACAAGTAGAAGGGCGCGGGTCATCTGCGTCTGCAACACAAGCCCAGTCGCCTCCATGTGACTGCAGCACGCTGGGTATGGTGAGGACACTGCTTGTAGTATTGATGACAGATGCTGTGAAGTCCCCCTGTGATACACATCTTCCATCTGCGAGATCACACGAGGCAGCAGGATTTCCACTGGGTGTTAGGTAGGAATGGACATTTAAGTTGTCTGCTTTATTACAGGTCAGATTGACAGGCATACCCAACTGACTTATTTCAGGGCAAAAGACGTGTTCTGTACCTGTGAAAAAATGTTTTTGTAGCGTTTCAAGACAATACAGACAAGACAAGTGGTGATGAATGTGTTAATGGTATGTTTATAATTCAAATGTGTCAAGATCATTGTACAGCTTGTGTATACCGTATACCATGTTCACCAATTATTATACACTTAATGAATCATTGAGGAAGGCAAATGAGCACACTCAACGATAACACCACCACACTCAGAGAGATGAATGAAAGATTTGTTTGTTTATTGTTGACGGCGGTGTGTAAATAATCGAGTCTGGACCAGAAAACCCAGTGATTGACATCATAAGCATCAATTAATGCAGAAGACCAGACAGAAAAAGATGACCAAGACTGATCCCCATACCGAGGACAAGGGAGCACACCTGGAGGCCGGCTGAGGACCATTCTGGAACACCATGACATGTACCAATATCCAGTGATTGACATCATGAGCATCAATCCAAGCAATTGACATGCATCAACCAAGTCAGCAAGCCTGACCACGTGAGTCGCCTCTTACGACAAGCATAGTCGCTTCAGAGGGCAAGGAAGGGTGTCTGAATACCCATTCTCTATGAATGAATGAATGAATGAATGAATGAATGAATGAATGAATGTGCTTTATGCCAACGTATTCGAAATCAGTGATATCAACAAAAGAATGCACTGTATGACAACACCATCACAATCAGTGAGATGAAAGAAAATACGTACTGTATGACACCACCATCACTAGAAGCATCAGTATCAAGGCGTTGTCGCCATGAGTGTTGCCGCGTCTAGAAACCATCACCTGTAACACATCAGAAGTGTCAGTACTTTGGTTTCTGGTCACCATGTTCACTAATCACATACTACAATACCACCTCCATAGTCTAGTGGTAGAGCGCCCGGAGTGCGGAAGGTCGGAGGTTCGATCCCTGGCCGCGTCATACCAATAGACGTTAAAAGATGGTACTTGTTGTTACCCTGTTGGCACTAAGGGGCTAAAACAAGGAGTGGTCGTCTCGGAGTCAATACACTGTATGGTAGTGAAGTTAGAGAAGTCCATCCATCTAATATTCTCACTGTTTCTAAAGGATAGTTTGGTGCGGTCGGGTAGCCTAGTGGTTAAAGCGTTCGCTCGTCACGCCGAAGACCCGGGTTCGATTCCCGACATAGGTAAAAAGTGTGAAACCCTTTTCTGGTGTCCCCCGCCGTGATATTGCTTGAATATTGCTCAAAGAATATTGGTTTGGGATTAACTAAGATAGAGCAGGGTATTTTCTTGGTATGTTCAAACAGATATGTCATAGATAATTTGGTATATTACTCCGAGTTGTTTTATAATAGAAATATTAACTATGTCAAGTGTATGAAAATCACCTGTCATCTGTGCATGATGATACGCACCGTACATCACTTTGTAAATTTCGAATTGTTCGAATCACAGTTTCATGATTGTTTCAATACTGATAATTTTATTCTGACCTAGGAAAGCACGTTTTACAACCTTGCTACTGTATATTTTCACCAGAAAATGTACATGGTATTCAGTACAAATTAACTGTCTTGCGAAATAATCGTTCTTGAAAATGATTTGCATGCATTACTGAGGTGCTTATTATGATTAATCCGAACTTTAGGCGCTCCAGAATAATATTGCCAGTTACGCATATAATAAAAGACATAAGCACGCACGCACGCACGCACGCACACACGCACGCATCCATGGCCTAATGACTTGAAAAAACTTAATTTGCATTCAAAGCTCTATTCTAGATATTTGTGTTCAAGAAAGCTTACCCTCTGAGCTGGAACCGTTTCGTCAACGATCCTAAAGAGCACACTATAATTATGTGTGATTATCGGCGCTATGTAAATACATATATTGTTAACAGACAGGGTAATTAATTTTAATATTCCTAAGTTAATTTACGTTAGATACATCATATTGCACGTTATTACATTTCTACAAATAATTCTTATAAGTATTACTTTAACATTTGACAGAAACTGAAAACATCAAGGAAAAAAGGAAACTTACTTCTTTGTTCTTTGGATACAGGTGTCAGTTTTGCTGTGGAATACACTCAATTCCTTCGTCGGATGCAACACCTGATAAGATGTTGCTCTCAAGATTGGGGAAACGCAATCGTCGGCTTCAGATTGACAAGACGTTATGCCTGTACGGCGCTATTCATGAATATTTTAACAAGATTACAAGATTGCTTGTCACTAATCAACTCTCTGTTTCCTCATTTGGGAAATTAAAAAGGAAATAATTTTAATATGGCTTAATACGACTTAAGTTCAGTAATCCTTCAGGAATTGAAATTGCGGTCACTTCTATCAGTACCTTTCTACCATGAAATGGGCTTCACACATTGTACATGTGAGGAATCGAACCTGGACTTTCAGCGTGACGAGCGAACTCTTCAACCACAAGACTATCACACCGCCCCTAACTTCATGTGGTGTCCTCATTACTTACATTATGCTTCACTCATATGTAAGGTCAAGCCATTTGTAAAAGTATAATAACTGATAGTCTATTGTCAAATAATCCATGAGCTGTAGGATATTTAGTACTTGATGTATAACATGTAAGTTAAATAAAGCGTTATTCAGAAATCCATTATAAATCAATTCTGGCTTTATGTGACGAAATACATTAATACGTTAAAACATAAGGACATTGATAGTCGAAAGTGAAAACAACCTCGCGGCAATCCTGTATTAATGATAATCCTTGCTTCATCCGGATGACAACAGTTCAACACGCGAATACAAAAAATACAACAAAAATCGTATGATCCTTGGCGTACGATTTAATCTCTCAACATACCAGCATTCGTCAACTTCGCCCAGGGAGTTTCAATGGATAGAGAAGAGTTTCCTTGTAGTTCTTCATCTGTTGAGTCCACGGATGCAGACTCTTCCATACTTGAAAGACTACTCCTTCCAGACCAGTCCGAGTCACCCTCATCAGCCATTGTAAACCTACACATAAACGAGTACTGTAATATTTTCTTGTTTAACGCCGCACGGAGGAATAATTCAAATATTTATATGAAGTTATGTTGATAAGGGTCTTAACCAGACAAGCCAGTGATTGACATTATTAGTGACACTCCACACCATCGCACGATGATGGGCAATCAACCATGTTTTGTTTGTTGTTGTTTAACGCCGCGCTCAGCAATATTCACGCTATATGACAGCGGTCTGTATGAATAATTGAGTCAGGACCAGACAATCCAGTGACTGATGTGACTTCAGCTCTTCTGCGAAGTACACGCCACCCTTACTACAACTCTTCTGCCAAGTACACGTCACCTTTACTACAGCTCTTCTGCCAAGTACACGTCATTTTAACTACAGCTCTTCTGCGAAGTACAGGTTCTCTTTACTACAGCACATCTGCCAAGTACACGTCACCTTTACTCCAACTCTTCTGCCAAGTACGCGTCAACTTTTCTACGGCTCTTCTGCCAAGTACACGTCATCTTAACTACAGCTCTTCTGCGAAGTACAGGTTCTCTTTTCTACAGCACATCTGCCAAGTACACATCACCTTTACTACAGCTCTTCTGCAAAGAACACGCCACCTTTACTACGGCTCTTCTGCCAAGTACACATCACCTTTACTACAGCTCTTCTGCAAAGAACACGCCACCTTTACTACGGCTCTTCTGCCAAGTACACGTCACCTTTACTACAGCTCTTCAGCAAGAACATATACCTTTACTACAGCTCTTCTGCCAAGTACACGTCACCTATACTACAGCTCTTCTACCCAGTACACGTCATCTTTACTTCACCTCTTCTGCCAATTTCACGTCATCTTTACTACAGCTCTTCTGCCAAGAAATGTAATCTTTACTTCAGCTCTTCTGCTAAGTACACGTCACCTTTACTACAGCTCTTCTGCAAAGTACAGATTCTCTTTACTACATTCTTTCTGCCAAGTACACGTCACTTTTACTACAGCTCCTCTGCCAAGTACACGTCACCTTTACTACAGCTCTTCTGCCAAGTACACGTCATCTTAACTACAGCTCTTCTACCAAATACCCGTCACCTTTATTACAGCTCTTCTGCCAAGTATACGACACCTTTACTACAGCTCTTCTACCAAGTACACGTCACCTTTACTACAGCTCTTCTGCCAAGTATACGACACCTTTACTACAGCTCTTCTGTCAAGTTCACATCATCTTTACTGCAGCTCTTCTGCCAAGTACATGTCACCTTTACTGCAGCTCTTCTGCCAAGTGCAGTTAATCTTTACTACAGCTCTTCTGCCAAGTACAGGTTATCTTTACTACAGTTCTTCTGCCCAATACATTATCATCAAAGTAATCAACACAACCTTATTCATTCTTTCCTGCTGCTCAGCACAACAAAACCATAATACACATGCAACGGATAAGAAATTTCACATGAGATGAGTTTTGTCTATGTCATCTGCGCACTGTCCTTAAACAAACATTTGGACAAAAAAGTTGAAATTAATGGTTTCGAAAATGTGTAGGTTTTCAAAGCAGTGTCGGAAAAATAAATTAAACAATACATTTGATGAAGAGAGCCACGCCATTTACTTGGCGCTTCATGATCTGTGATGTTTCGTTACGAATGAACGTGTCTGGAGTGGAGAGTTTCTTATAGAGCCTGTAGCACATGAGGGAGTCAGATTTCAGTTTCAGTTATTTCAGTTATTTCACGACAGGTCGGAGTGATTTTGGAGGAATGCTTCTTGGTCTTGGACGTTCACAACATTGTAGAATTCTGTACGGATTTCTTATTGGAGCATGCAGTATAGTATATAAAACCTTTCCATAAGCACCAGCCAAAGAAAATCCAGTGTGCGATTCAGACTGAATCATGACCATGAATCATTATCAAATTGTGATGATACGAGGTGTTCGCGAAACAAATTGCAAACTTAAGTCAATTGTTTAACTGAAAAATTAGGAATTAGGCACAATTTGGATTCCTACTTCTTTCCCAAATATCTGTCCCCTAACATGTCCATGCATGTTATCAAAGAGGAACAACAGCATTTCACATATTGTTTTCTCAGTAAACTTCAGATGGCTTTTACTATCGTTTTTTGGCAAATTGACCTGAATCTCTGAAGGTAGATATTATGTAACTGTATCTGTACAACGTTTTATAACAAAAGCTCCATGGATCAACGAACAAAGTTCTTCCTTAAGTTTGTCAGGTTGATAGTTGTGTACACAGTAAAATACCTACTGATGCTGTTACATACACTTAAACCTGTTTGTTTTATAATAGTCCGATATATAGAACTGTTAGATAGGCAGCTAAGTTGTAGTTGCTATCTGTTGTAGGGATAGTAATATTTAGGAAAATGTGTACTATCTGGATGACGTCACTATTCATTCTATCATGACATTGATGAATGCTTGATTCTCATTGGTTAAAAAGAGGTTTCCTTTTTGCTACGGAAACCCCTTTCAAATAAATTAAGCCTTTTCGCAAAAAAACGTGCGTATGAATACATAGATAGCCTACATATTGATTCATAGAAAATGGCTGCCGATCTATCACCCCCATATAAACTGTAAAACATATCTATATTTCCTCTAATACACGCTGGGTCTCTAATACCAGCCAGATCTCTAATACACGCCGAGTCAAGGGCTCTCACGAAATTCATAGACGGCGTAGTGTCAAATAGAGGAAATACGGTAGTTTGATATCGTATTGTTGGGGCGTTCTAGGCTACAACCCTGACTGCTTTGATGATGACATTAAAAGATTTAACGAAGGCATATCTTTTGCATACAAATGAAATGTTAATGAAACTGTTAGAGACATTTTCTATGGTGACCAGAATAGGAACAATTTAAGCTATTTCCTCATTGAAACAACCGACAATGAAAGTAAAATAAAACATTATAAAAATTGTTTGAAAAAACTTTATTCATGACAACATGTTGTTTACAAACCTTTTTCTGATCCATATTCGTTGCCATCTCCGTCAACCACCACCGTTAGAATTTGTCAGGAGGGGATTTGAAAACACTCACCTTCGTAAGTCCACGAAAACAATGTCCCAACTGAAATGACAGCTTATCAAACTTGATGAAATTCTTTTCAGAACACGCACAATTAAGAAAATCATACACGATCCACTTTTTCTGGGACACAAATGTCTAAGTTCTGTCACTATTTGGCTTTGGATCCGTGAAAATATATATAAGGTTTATGTGCAGTCGCAGAAGCAGTAACTATTTTTTTATCAGACTAGTGCTCCACGTTGATGATCCAACACCATCTTCTACAGTATTCTTCTTCTGCTGTGATGAATGTGGAGTCATTGGATCGAAATGATCTTGTGTTTTGGCGCCCTTAGATTTGAGGTAATCTGCTATGCTTGTATTTTGGAATCCTAGTGCTTTATCCAGGGGAGTCCTGCCTTTGAATCCTCGGATGTTAATGTCAACACCTCTCTCAAGTAGAAACTCTATTACAGCTGTACTACCTTCACATGCAGAGTGAAGGAGACTGTCACCATTTTCTGATCGGGTGGTGACAGATGCTCCTTGTGCTATCAACAGAGTGATAATGTTTGCTCTGCTTGACTTGCAGGCTTCATGCAAGGATCCAGCATCTACCCGTGCTCCTTTGTCAACCAATTGCTTGACTATTTTGAAATATTGCCATTCACATGCACTGAAGAGAGGTGAATGGCCTGATACGTCCTTTCTGTTCATATCAGAGACAGATGATATAATCTCTTTTGTTGCCTTGGCAAGTCCGTTTTCACAGAAATAGTGTAGAACTGTCCTGCCTAAGAAGTCCGAGGCATTGATGTCTGGCTTTAGAACTAGCAGTTGCATCACAAATGCCTCATGTTTTTTATCAGCAGCAATCATGACTGGGGTTCGGCCGTTTTCGTTCCTGACGTTAATTTCAAATGCAATGCGTTTGTCTACCAAATATTTCAGGGCATCTATGGCTCCGGCGTCGTACATGCCAAATACTATGTCCTTTATAACTGAAAGTGGCACATGTCTCATTTTTATCATAATTAGTTTCAAAACATGGTAGCTTCCATTGCTTGTTGCCAGATAAGGGAACGTTTTTTTCAGGCTGGCATCTTTCAGAGCAACAACAGCTGGCATGTTCGACTTGTTCTTTTTCAAAACAGATTCAATTAGCTGTTTTGCAAAGGGGGCCCATGTGCATGCTGAGTGAGATAGCGCCATATATATATTGCCTTTGCAAATTTCCGATGCAAATCTGATCACAAGATACTTTGAAAGATTTTCTGGGATGAACAGTACCTGCGATGTTGTTTCGGACGTCTGCTGAGACTGCAACCGCAACATCATACGTATGTACACCATGCTGCCGTTCTCAATAACAAACCTTGGATTGTGTTCCCATAAAGTTGAGGCTACAAGGACATACATATGTTGTCCAATGAATGTGCAGACAGTGCCGTTTTTATTCAAACATGTCCCATCTAGTCCTTTGGCTGTGTCAGACAGTGTATAACCGAGATCGCCGGTCTCATTCGATGTATCCCACTCGCCATGGTGCTCAAGAAGCTTCTGGAAGAGATGCCTAATGGGTTGTTGCTTCATAAGAAGTGTAACTGTTTCTATTTCCAGTGAAGTTGGAAGTTGAAATATTGAAGCTGGTTTAGAATCTCGATTGGATTTGTACTGTTTGAAAAACAATTCGCAAAGTTTTGGAAAGCCAGGATATTTCCATTCACAAATTTGCCTTCGCCTCATCTCATCGACATTGATGTCATACTTGGTTTCAAAAGAACCCACAATATTTTCCTTTTCCTGTAGTGTTCTTGTGATTTTTGATATATCAACCGTCACAGCTGTGACGTGTAGACCCTGTATGTAGTCGAACAGTGCTTGAACAACGACTTTGTTACCAACAATAAGGAGTATGCACATTGTAATCTGTGCTAACATTGTGTGCAGGGAAAACTCCCATTTCTTCCACTTTTTCTGTTCAAAGGTGTAATAACCCCATATGCCATCTAACAGGATGACACGCTCACGTCGTGTTGGTGTTATCTTCAGGAGATCGTCAGGTTTGATTATATGGAGCACCTCTTTCCTCTGGTTATGCAAATTGTTCAGAACTCTCTGAGCCACTGTTGACTTCCCATCCCCTGGTTGCCCTGTGATGATTACCACATTCGATCCATTTTCAAAAGCTTGCATCACCTCTGTGACACTTCTAGTTTCCACAGTTGTTTTAACACAGAGCTCCATATCCTGTTCTGTTTTGCCTGAAGAGAATGTATAGGAAAATTTGAGATCGGTTCTGTTGATGAATATTTATACCAATTAGCAAGAACAGGGTCTTCCTTGGTAACGTGAACTTGCAACATGCTCACACACACACACACACACACACACACACACACAGGGAAGGGCAAACTAATGAAAAAGGAATTACAATTGAAGAATATTACACAAACTCTGATATATGTTTAATACATCATGACATAGCGCTTGATTTTTTTATGGTTTTTAACCTGGCCTTAAATATGATGAATATAGCTACGTGTATGTACGTGTTTTACTGACCCGTGAAGATCCGGGGTAGAATAGGTCATGCTTGCCGTAAGAGGCGACTAACGGGATCGGGTGGTCAGGCTCGCTGACCTGGCTGATGCATATCAACGTATCCCAATTGCATGGATCGATGCTCATGATGTTAATTACTTGATTGTCTGGATCAGACTCGATTACTTATAGACCGCCGTCATATGGCTGGAATATTGCTGAGTGCGGGGTTAAACAACAAACAAACAAAACGTGTGTTGCCGATTGTACTAGTTCGGACTTATGCCAGTTTTGTTGTGCTCGACAACTGAGATACCATCCTGCAGTTTTACATGAATACTTTAATTAGACGCTGAGCTGGCCAGTCCTTTCATTATCCTTTAAAAAGTCTATTTGTGATCCAACCAGAGACTTTTCGCTCTGCTAACAGACTAATGTTTGGGAATTGACTCATGAATTAAATATCCTTCAATAGTCTTTGATTATTTCAAGATGGTAAATATGACAATTAAGATTGATAGAAATTGATAATCATGTTGAATGTGAGAAAGAAAGATGACACAGTTGCCTTATGCTTTAAGATGAATTAACACTTACTTCTGATGATTTGTATTGGTGATTTCACTTCAACTTTTTCAACTTCACCAACTTTTTTATCATCAATAATATTTTTGTTTCCAACATTTATATTCTTGGGAGCGGCTGGAAAGATCATCTTCACGTCTGTTTTCTGAAAAACTAAAAGAAGAAAAACACAATTATTACTGATTGAACTATAAACTCAAATTATCATCCAATAAGGTTACATGTGAAAAACATTTTTTTATTCAAGTAATAAATAAACATTACATATCCCTGCTTGCTCGGTTCGATGTGGAACCCGAGTCTTCTGCAAACATCATTCCCAGTTAAACCCCTATGATATTTAGCTCCGGGGGTGCGTCGGAGCTCTGTGACGTCATGGCGTTATCAAAACATATGTATCCTGCTGCATGTCTGTTACAATGAGATCATGTGGAACAGTGTGCAGAACTATGACCAAAACGTTGGTTGGTTTCTAGTTTTATGCCGCACTCAGCAATACTTCAGCCCTATAACAGCGGTATGTCAGTAAATGAGTCTGGACCAGACAATCCAGCGATTGATATCATGAGCATCGATCCACGCAATTGGGATCAATGACATGCTTCAACCAAGTCAGCGAGCCTGGCGCGCCGTTAGTCGCCTCTTTCGACCAGTATAGTCGCCTTTTACGGCAAGCATGGGTTGCTGAAGACCTAATCTACCCCGGATCCTCACAAAAAGAGTGTAGCAACCCGAGAACGATTATTATTACTTGCCCGTGTAGAGATCACCCGTTTAATAAACATACAGCTGTGTTACACATTGTGTAATACCAAAACGCTTGCTTATGTACTCTCGGAACATGTTTCACGAACAAATATTGACAGCTCTCAACATCCCTTGGCTTATTCATCGACATTGCGTGTGGAGATGATAGATCGCTGAGAGGAGCTTATGCACACTCGATGACCCCAGGCACCTTGTTGCTAGGCTGACGTCACATGGCATTGTTTCGCCGATGGATCTTGCAACAAAATTCCACAAATTACGTCATCGGGTATTGTGACGTGATTGTAAACTTTGAGTCAGGCCCCGTTCCACAAGGCGATCGTATTGTAGCGCAACGAAAGTCGTCACTCTAAGTTAAAGTATGTTAGTTGCGATAACCTTAGCGCTACGATAATTTTGTGGAACGGACGCCTGAATTCTAAAGGTGGACCGCTGTATGGTATTAAATTCATACGTTTCAACTTTTGACGTATTAAAGTATTATTCTGTTAAACTCAATTGGATTATGCCATGGATCGTGTAGGTGTCAGCCTATTCACACTCAACAGTATAATTCTATATAAATTGCAAGTAATAAATAAAATCCAACACTAGCTCCCGTGTAAAACCAATTTTACTTTCGCTCGTCAGATACCAGAACTATTCACTCGTTACATAAAATCGGTATTACACGTTTAGTGTTCTATATATCCTTTTGCATCATTACTGCAAAAGATAAAACTGTAATATCATCCAATTGCAATGGTGATACAACGTTACTGGGATAATAAAAGGAGTACCTTCACCTAGAGAGATGTAAATCCACTATTTTATTTGCGACATCATGGTCTATAGCTTCGTTAGACACCTTTTTCATATTCAAAGAGTGAGTACAATAACATACAAGCTGAAGAACATCCTCTAAATATCATGTATGACTATTTGGGAATCGATATTTCGACTCGGCATACGTTTGGAGAAGATAATTTGCTCCAGTAATTACTGGGAACAAAAAGATTTGATTTCAAGAACCCTCCCATAGGTATCAAAAGAGGGGCCCTTAATCAGTATCAGATGCAAACGTACACTGAGCTTGAACGTGCGGCGACACAGCTGCTTCTGCGTTTCCTAGTCCCGATGTGCTTGGTCCTGGAAAAGAGGAACTGTTTGAAGATGGCGCTTCGTTGTATGTCACTTTTATTTCATCAAGGTGAGTGAGTGAGTGAGTGAGTTGCGTGTAAGCCTAATATGTGAGAAATGTCTGATTTGTTTGTTTGTTTGTTTGTTGTTTAACCCCGCACTCAGCAATATGACGGCGTCTGTAAATAATCGAGTCCGGACCAGACAGTCCAGTGATTGACATCATGAGCATCGGCCCACGCAATTGGGATCGATGACATGCATCAACCATTTCAGCGATCCTGACCACCCGATCCAGTTAGTCGGATCCAGTTAGACCTATTCTACCCCGGATCTTCCCTGGTCGAGGAGGAATGTCTGAAGTGATGCAGGTCTCAGGCGTATCATGCTGAAAACTAATCGAGGCGAACCTGGATTCCAATACACAAACCTAGGTTGCTGGCGTGCCCTAAGGACGAAACTGTGCACAACGAATTGCGGTGTCCACGCCGACTGGGCCACCAGTGCCCACAAAGTCAGCAAGGGATTCTAAGATTAAGCAATTGAACATTCCATGTTATTAATTGTAGTTAATATCGTCGTCCAGATATATATTGTTTTTATCCGCAATTGTTTGTTTTGTAATATTTTTTGTTTGTTGTTTAAAGCCGCACTTAGTAATATCCAAGCTATATGACGGCGGTTTGTATATAATTGAGTCTGGACCAGACAATCCAGTGATCGACTTCACGAGCATCGATCCACGCAATAAAGATACGATGACATGCGGCAACCACGTCAGCGAGCCTGACCACGCGATCCCGATAGTCGCCTCTTACTTATTTATCTTACTCTTTATAAATATTTAGTTCATTTCTCATAGCACCCAACATTGATAAACTGATATTCCTCAGGTTTTGTGGCCGCACAGTGACCCAGATATATCCTTCGGAAGTCGAGAGCGATAATAGAGTCCGTAGCTAACCTTGTTCTTGGGCGTTCTGATCCCCATTTACCACAGGGCCCTTCCGACAATTTCTGCATAACCCCTCAGTAGGGTGAGCTGCAACTGTGTGAAAAACCTGTGTTAGTAATGTTTTGACTATCGCAATCTTGATGTGACACAGCAAGGATGATAAGGGATAATGTTTGATTGCAACCCATTTTCGAATCCTGCATCGCCGATGGGCGAAAGGAAATGTTGTTGTTGTTTGTTTGTTGTTTTACGCCGCACTCAGCAATATTGCAGCTATATGACGGCGGTCTGTAAAACATCGAGTCTGGACCAGACAATCCAGCGATTGATATCCACGCAATTGGGATCGATGACATCAACCAAGTCAGCGAGCCTGACCACCCGATCCCGTTAGTCGCCTCTTACGACAAGCATAGTCGCCTTTTACGGCAAGCATGGGTTGCTGAAGACCTATTCTACCCCGGAATGTTCACGGGTCGAAAGAAAATGAATTGCTGTACCTTAGCTCACTGAGCAAGTCGTGCTCCTGATATGCTCACATAATTTAAAACAATGAGTGAGTGAGTTGGCTTTAACGCCGCTTTTAACAGTATCCAGGGATGTGAGCAGGTTTCCCGAAAAAACAGGAAAAGCCTAGGGGGGTCTAAACATTTGATTGCATTTTAAGCAATTTCGTGCAGTTTGGACAACATTCACACCAAGAAATGTAATAAGTCAATGGCAAAAGTCAATAAGTCAAATAAACAAGATGGCAGATGCAGTAAAATTTCGAAGTTAAATCAGTACTTTTAAAAAAATCGGGCATAGCTTCCGCGCACCTGGCTACCCGCCAGGTCTGGGAGCAATACTGCCATAAACTTCAACCCCCATCCCCCAGACACAAGGACAACTGTCACAAGCATGCAATGTCTGACCCTTTCCCCATGTTGAAGCATATTGAAAAAAACTTACCTTGTACTTACTTACCTTTTGTTGAAAAAAACAAAACTCCATTGCAAATATAAGACATTTATACAACATATATCCCCATGTTATGGGTTTTTGGAAGCTGAAGAAACATTCACAGTTTTCTCGCTAATCACATGAACAACTGTAAAACATCTAATTCACTTACAGGCTAAAAGACAACTTTATCTTAAAAACAAGCCATCTGTGTGACGCCACACCCCACGTTATAGTGCAAGTATTCGTGATAGAAAACGTATGATGTCCGAAAACCTATGCTGGTGCAGTGAAAGCTCAGATCGAAAACAGGACAATCCGCGACGATTGTCCGGTTTTCGATCATATTTTTCGGAGTGTTTTTTTAAAAATCTTTGATTATACTTTTACGCGGAAGATGATTTTTCGCGAGGACTACTGTTTTAAAAAACGCGATTTTCCGCGTTTCCGCGGAGATTTCACATCCCTGAGTATCCCAGTTATATCACGGCGTGTCAGCTTAATGTGGGAGGAAAGCCCGAAGCGATACAGGTTTCAGACGTTTACCACTTCGGTGAAACCCACGAGCACGGATATGGTGCCGACAAACCTAGAAACATAATCGGGGCGAACCGGGATTCCAGTCGACAATCATAGGTTTCTGGCGTGCCCAAGAGACGCGAATCGCGGCACCCCAGACGACTGCGCCACGTGTGCCCCCGTTTGAAACAGAATCAACACAAAACGATGAACATACCGAGATCTTGTGTTCTTTTCATCAGCTGCATTCCATCTTTGCCTTCCAGCATTCTCATTGGGTTTTCTCCTGACAAAAATGAATCCGTGAACATGAAAGCATGTTTTGACATAGCTGTAGATATCAGTGAGTACATATTACTAGCAAGTCGAAGTATCAAGATATCAAACAATTAGTGTTGTTCGAACGTCCAGATAATTTGTAATGTCATGGTTTACTGTTTGTTTGTTTGTTGTCTAACGCCGCACTCAGCAATATTCCAGCTATATGACGGTCTGTATATAATCGAGTCTGGACCAGAGAATCCAGTGATTGACATCATGAGCATTTATCTACTTAATTGGGATACGATGATATGTATCAACCAAGTTAGCGAGCCTAACAATCCGGCTCAGTTATAATACAAAACAAATACAAGAAATAGTTATGATCCTTGCTTCACCCGGATGACAACAGTTCAACCCGCGAATACAAAAAATACAACAAATAGTTATGATCCTTGCCGTGTGAATTAATCTCAACATACCAGCATTCAACAACTGTGCCCAGGGGGGTTTAATGGATATAGAACAGTTTCCATTTAGTTCTTCATCTGTTGAGTCCACGGATGCAGACTCTTCCATACTTGAAAGACTATTTCTGCCAGACCAGTCCGAGTCATCCTCATCAGCCATTGTAAACCTACACATAAACGAGTACTTTTATATTTTCTTGTTTAACGCCGCACGGAGGAATGATCCAAATATTTATATAAAGTTATGTTGATAAGGGTCTTAACCAGACAACCTCTTGATTGATATTATTAGTGACACTCCACACCATCGCACGATGACATGCAATCAACCATGCCTTGTTTGTTTGTGTGTTTGTTTGTTGTTGTTTAACGCCGCACTCAGCAATATTCCAGCTATATGACAGCGGTCTTTATGAAGAATCGAGTCTGGACAAGACAATCCAGTGACTGATGTCATGAGCAACGATCCACGCAATTGAGATACGATGACATGCATCAAGGGATAAGGGATAATGTTTGATTGCAACCCATTTTCGAATCCTGCATCGCCGATGGGCGAAAGGAAATGTTGTTGTTGTTTGTTTGTTGTTTTACGCCGCACTCAGCAATATTGCAGCTATATGACGGAGAGATTGAGATACGATGACATGCATCAACCAAGTCAGCGAGCCTGACGACCCGACCCCGTTAGTCGCCTCTTACGACAAGCATAGTCGCCTTTTACGGTAAACATGGGTTGCTGAAGACCTATACTACCCCGGATCTTCACGGGTCTTTTAAGGAAGTGATTTATAAAGGCGCTATATGTGTATTGATTGGATCATTTATTTAGAATAGGTCAACCTGGCATCCTTGTGAGATGTGACCAGTTTGACAGACACGAAATATAGCTGGAATATTGCTTTGTGTGACAACCACAGACACATTAACAAATGTCTAAGGTTATTTGTATAGAATCTATAAAAAACATCATAGCAACGATAGGAGAGCCTGCCACGTCTTACGTGAATGGAATCATAATAGGTACATACCGTTCCATCTGTATCCTTTAAAAATAATAAACACAATTATGAATTGTTTACATCACAAATATACCGAGTAAGCAAGAGAGGCAACTCTAGCCTCGTTCTTCTTCATCGATCAATTGAACGGTCTTTGTTCGTCTTTTCCTTGGTAGTGGAGCAAATATATTCCAACTACCCATAGATTATAGCATATTCTCCGCTGTTTATCAGACAATACAGTATAAAATATTGGTTTCTCGTAACAACCGTGTTGTAATATCGGAGGACACAATAGATACAGACAGTGGAATACCTACCTTTATACAGAATTGTGTAAAGATAATGAATAATGTAAGTATCTTACATGCATACTATAATTAAGAATACTCACTTTCTCTGCAAACACCTGAGTGTAGAGCAGATTCAATACAGGTGAGAAATGCGTCAGCGCTATAAATATTTCCTGGTGGAAATTCCGCTCGGTGATGTCCCTCCTAATAATAGCACGTCACCTTGACAACACATTCGCTGTGCAGAGTTGCGCCCATTCATGATCACCATTCCCACGGTTCGTTGTATTCCCAGGTGCGCTGTCATTATGACAACGGTATCGGCCTGATACCGCAAAATTCTCAATTTGTGAAATACCGACACTGCGAATGGGAAAATGGGTAAAAGGGCAAGGTTGGGGACGATCATACGATTGGGAAAATGGGTAAACGGGCAAGGTTAGGAACGATCATGCGAATGGAAAAATGAGTAAACGGGCAAGGTTAGGATCAATCATGCAAATGGGAAAATGGGTAAACGGGCAAGGTTAGGATCAATCATGCCAATGGGAAAATGGGTAAATGGGCAAGGTTAGGATCAATCATGCGAATGGGAAAATGGGTAAAAGGGCAAGGTTAGGATCAACCATGCCAATGGGAAAATGGGTAACCGGGCAAGTTAGGATCGATCATGCGAATGGGAAAATGGGTAAACGGGCAAGGTTAGGGACGATCATACGAATGGGAAAATGGGTAAACGGGCAAGGTTAGGATCAATCATGCGAATGGGAAAATGGGTAAAAGGGCAAGCTTAGGATCAATCATGCCAATGGGAAAATGGTTAAACGGCAAGGTTAGGATCAACCATGCCAATGGGAAAATTGGTAATCGGGCAATTTAGGATCGATCATGCGAATGGGAAAATGGGTAAACGGGCAAGGTTAGGGACGATCATACGAATGGGAAAATGGGTAAACGGGCAAGGTTAGGATCAACCATGCCAATGGGAAAATGGGTAATCGGGCAAGTTAAAATCGATCATGCCAATGGGAAAATGGGTAAACAGGCAAGTTAGGATCGATCACGTGAGTGGGAAAATGGGTTAATAGGCGAGTTTGGGACGAATCGTGCGAATGGGAAAATGGGTAATCGGGCAAGGTTAGGATCAGTCATGCCAATGGGAAAATGGGTAAATGGGCAAGGTTAGGATCAATCATGCGAATGGGAAAATGGGTAAACGGGCAAGGTTAGGATCAATCATGCCAATGGGAAAATGGGTAAACGGGCAAGGTTAGGATCAATCATGCCAATGGGAAAATGGGTAAACGGGCAAGTTAGGTTTTATCATGCGAATAGGAAAATGGGTAAACGGGCAAGGTTAGGGACGATCATGCGAATGGGAAAATAGGTAAACGGGCAAGGTTGGGATCAATCATGCCAATGGGAAAATGGGTAATCGGGCTAGTTAGGATCGATCATGCGAATGAGAAAATGGGTAAACGGGCAAGGTTGGGATCAATCATGCCCATGGGAAAATGGGTAATTGGGCAAGTTAGGATCGATCGCCTGACTCGGAAAATGGGTTAATAGGCGAGTTTGGGACCGATCGTGCGAATGGGAAAATGGGTAAACAGGCAAGGTAAGGATCAGTCATGCCAATGGGAATATGGGTAAACGGGCAAGGTTAGGATCAATCATGCCAATGGGAAAATGGGTAAACGGGCAAGGTTAGGATCAATCATGCCAATGGGAAAATGGGTAAACGGGCAAGGTTAGGATCAATCATGCGAATGAGAAAATGGGTAAACGGGCAAGGTTGGGATCAATCATGCCCATGGGAAAATGGGTATTCGGGCAAGTTAGGATCGATCGCCTGACTGGGAAAATGGGTTAATAGGCGAGTTTGGGACCAATCGTGCGAATGAGAAAATGGGTAAACAGGCAAGGTAAGGATCAGTCATGCCAATGGGAATATGGATAAACGGGCAAGGTTAGGATCAATCATGCCAATTGGAAAATGGCTAAACGGGCAAGGTTAGGATCAATCATGCCAATGGGAAAATGGGTAAACGGGCAAGTTAGGTTTTATCATGCGAATGGGAAAATGGGTAAACGGGCAAGGTTAGGGACGATCTTGCGAATGAGAAAATGGGTAAACGGGCAAGGTTGGGATGAATCATGCCAATGGGAGAATGGGTAATCGGGCAAGTTAGGATCGATCATGCCAATGGGAAAATGGGTAAACGGGCAAGGGTAGGGACGATCATGCGAATGGGAAAATGGGTAAATGGGCAAGGTTGGGATCAATCATGCCAATGGGAAAATGGGTAATCGGGAAAGTTAGGATCGATCATGCGAATGAGAAAATGGGTAAACGGGCAAGGTTAGGATCAATCATGCCAATGGGAAAATGAGTAATCGGGCAAGTTAGGATCAATCATGCCAATGGGAAAATGGGTAAACGGGCAAGGTTAGGATCAATCATGCCAATGGGAAAATGGGTAAATGGGCAAGGTTAGGATCAATCATTGCAATGGGAAAATGGGTAAACGGGCAAGTTAGGATCGATCGTGTGAGTGGGAAAATGGGTTAATAGGCGAGATTGGGACCGATCGTGCGAATGGGAAAATGGGTAAACAGGCAAGGTTAGGATCAATCATGCCAATGGGAAAATGGGTAAACGGGCAAGGTTAGGATCAATCATGCCAATGGAAAAACGGGCAAACGGGCAAGTTAGGTTTGATCATGCCAATGGGAAAATGGATAAACGGGCAAGGTTAGGATCAATCATGCCAATGGGAAAATGGGTAAACGGGCAAGGTTAGGGACGATCATGCGAATGAGAAAACGGGTCAATGGGCAAGGTTGGGATCAATCATGCCAATGGGAAAATGGGTAATCGGGCAAGTTAGGATCGATCATACCAATGGGAAAATTGGTAAACGGGCAAGGTTAGGGACGATCATGCAAATGGGAAAATGGTTAATAGGGCAAGGTTAGGACCAATCATGCCAATGGGAAAATGGGTAATCGGGCTAGTTAGGATCGATCATGCGAATGAGAAAATGGGTAAACGGGCAAGGTTAGGAACGATCATGCCAATGGGAAAATTCGGTAAACGGGCAAGTTAGGATCGATCATGCCAATGGGAAAATGGGTAAACGGGCAAGGTTAGGGACGATCATGCGAATGGGAAAATGGGTAATCGGGCAAGTTAGGATCGATCATGCGAATGAGAAAATGGGTAAACGGGCAAGGTTGGGATCAATCATGCCAATGGGAAAATGGGTAAACGGGCTAGTTAGGATCGATCATGCGAATGAGAAAATGGGTAAACGGGCAAGGTTGGGATCAATCATGCCAATGGGAAAATGGGTAAACGGGCAAGTTAGGATCGATCGCGTGAGTGGGAAAATGGGTTAATAGGCGAGTTTGGGACCGATCGTGCGAATGGGAAAATGGGTAATCGGGCAAGGTTAGGATCAGTCATGCCAATGGGAAAATGGGTAAACGGGCAAGGTTAGGATCAATCATGCCAGTGGGAAAATGGCTAAAAGGGCAAGTTAGGTTTTATCATGCGAATGGGAAAATGGATAAACGGGCAAGGTTAGGGACGATCATGCGAATGGGAAAATGGGTAAACGGGCAAGGTTGGGATCAATCATGCCAATGGGAAAATGGGTAAACGGGCAAGGTTAGGGACGATCATGCGAATGGGAAAATGGGTAAATGGGCAAGGTTAGGATCAATCATGCAAATGGGAAAATGGGTAATCGGGCAAGTTAGGATCGATCATGCGAATGAGAAAATGGGTAAACGGGCAAGGTTGGGATCAATCATGCCAATGGGAAAATGGGTAAACGAGCAAGGTTAGGATCAATTATGGCAATGGGAAAATCGGTAAACGGGCAAGTTAGGATCGATCGTGTGAGTGGGAAAATGGGTTAATAGGCGAGATTGGGACCGATCGTGCGAATGGGAAAATGGGTAATCGGGCAAGGTTAGGATCAATCATGCCAATGGGAAAATGGGTAAACGGGCAAGGTTAGGATCAATCATGCCAATGGAAAAACGGGCAAACGGGCAAGTTAGGTTTGATCATGCCCATGGGAAAATGGGTAATTGGGCAAGTTAGGATCGATCGCCTGACTGGGAAAATGGGTTAATAGGCGAGTTTGGAACCGATCGTGCGAATGGGAAAATGGGTAAACAGACAAGGTTAGGATCAGTCATGCCAATGGGAATATGGGTAAACGGGCAAGGTTAGGATCAATCATGCCAATGGGAAAATTGGTAAACGGGCAAGGTTAGGATCAATCATGCCAATGGGAAAATGGTTAATAGGGCAAGGTTAGGATCAATCATGCGAATGGGAAAATGGGTAAACGGGCAAGGTTAGGGACGATCTTGCGAATGAGAAAATGGGTAAACGGGCAAGGTTGGGATGAATCATGCCAATGGGAGAATGGGTAATCGGGCAAGTTAGGATCGATCATGCCAATGGGAAAATGGGTAAACGGGCAAGGGTAGGGACGATCATGCGAATGGGAAAATGGGTAAATGGGCAAGGTTGGGATCAATCATGCCAATGTGAAAATTGGTAATCGGGCAAGTTAGGATCAATCATGCCAATGGGAAAATGGGTAAACGGGCAAGGTTAGGATCAATCATGCCAATGGGAAAATGGGTAAACGAGCAAGGTTAGGATCAATCATGGCAATGGGAAAATCGGTAAACGGGCAAGTTAGGATCGATCGTGTGAGTGGGAAAATGGGTTAATAGGCGAGATTGGGACCGATCGTGCGAATGGGAAAATGGGTAATTGGGCAAGGTTGGGATCAATCATGCCAATGGGAAAATGGGTAAACGGGCAAGGTTAGGATCAATCATGCCAATGGAAAAACGGGCAAACGGGCAAGTTAGGTTTGATCATGCCTATGGGAAAATGGATAAACGGGAGAGGTTAGGATCAATCATGCCAATGGGAAAATGGGTAAACGGGCAAGGTTAGGGACGATCATGCGAATGAGAAAACAGGTAAATGGGCAAGGTTGGGATCAATCATGCCAATGGGAAAATGGGTAATCGGGCAAGTTAGGATCGATCATACCAATGGGAAAATTGGTAAACGGGCAAGGTTAGGGACGATCATGCAAATGGGAAAATGGTTAATAGGGCAAGGTTAGGACCAATCATGCCAATGGGAAAATGG